CTCAAGTCCCTCTTCGATAAAGGCATATATGATAACAAAGCAACAATCTCAATAACACATAATCCTGTTCTTCATGACAGAACCAAGCATGTTGAGGTAGATAAGCACTTTATCAGGGAAAAAATAAAGAACGGGCAGATTCGTATGATCTATATACCAACTGATGAACATATTGCAGATGTTCTTACGAAGGGGTCTGTCCAAGAAACAATTTGAGAAATTGACGAGGAAAGACATCTTCAAACCAGCTTAAAGGGGAGTGTTGGAAAGGAGAATATTCGGCTGAGATTTATTACTGATCTCTTGGGATTGCCTAGCTGTATTTTATGTTTAAATATAGGTCTAGTCAACTCTGTAAATAAGAAAAATTAGTTGTATAGTTATTATGTTCCTTTTTTAATGCCTTGTATAGCCTATAAGTAGTGTACGTATATATCATTCTCAGTATCAATGAAATACCATTTCACTAAAACAATTCTCTCATAATTCCTTGTTGTCTAGACTTTCATTGTATATTATGTTTGCTCCAATATCCTACGAGATTGAATTAAAAAGCCATGCTTTTACAAGATTATTGCATCGCCCCCACTGTTAGAGTTCTGTGGTGGAAGTCTCCGGTAGCTATTTGATGGTGCCATTGCCAAAGCCTTCTTTGTTCTTGATGTTGAGAGCCATGAGCATGGCACGGCTCCATGTGCTGTAATTTTCTTCATTCAGCGGTTGTGTGACGAGTACAAGCCTAGGTTGATCGGAATGATGAAGCTAAAGAGGATCATTTGGATTATCAAACTTGCTGGCCTCAAGCTTGGCAGAGTTTTGAGTTTCGCCCATTCCTGCCATGTGTATCGGCTAGAAAAAGGTAGGCAATTTCTTGTGTGTGAGGAGAAAAAAATTCAGGAGCGTGGTTGCTCTGTTACCATGAAAAATGAATGAATTTCACTGTATTTGTTCATTAATAATATGCGAATATATATACAATACAATAACTAATTTAGATCCTAAATTATAGCATATACACTATAAATGCCTATTTACGAACCAAGAAGCAATCCCAGATTTTGTGCACTTGTTGACTTTACATTCCTTAACACGGTGGTGGTGTCCAAGAATTTAATTTATTGAAATGAATTTTCATTCCATCGAAATAGTCATTCTTACTCTAAAATGTCATACCAAATAAATGAATTATTGGAATGAGCATTCCATTCTATTCCTCTCTTACGCGCCAAACTAGGTCTATATATAAATAATGCCAAACTTCTAAAATTGGAAAACTCTACTTTGCCCCTCTAGAGACCATAACCTTCTGGGACGCATTATTGTTGGTTTGGCTCACAGGACTCCAGTCTCTAATTTGCTAAGATTCATGCAAGTGAGTATATATATTAATTAGGGGTGGCAATTTAAGCTCGAACCTATTAAATCGCCCAAATTCGCCCACTAAAATTAAATTATTTGGGCACCCAAATTGAAGTGAGTGGATAACAAGGGTAAAAAGTAAGTACACATACAATTCAATGGTCAATAATAAATTAAGAGTGGGTACCCATCTTAATCCACTCAAACAAAACCCTCTTTTCTTTCTCATACATTTCTCTCTCTTCCATCTCATACGTTTTTTTGCCTCTCTACTTCTCTTTTATATTTTTTCACTTTTTTTTTTTTTTTTTCTCTCCTCCCTTTTTTTTTTTTTTTTTCTCTCCCTCTTCCCTCTCCTCCCTGTTTCTTTTCTTTTATTTTTTTTGCTAGCGTTCTCTCACCTCGTTGTTTCTTTTCTTCTGCTTTTTCTTTCATTCTATTTCCTCGCTGGTTCTTTTCTTCTTCTTTTTTCCCATGTGATAACTCTCTCTCTTCACTCTTCCTTCAAATTTTATTTTACTGTATAAAATAAATGACCAACAATTAATTAAAACTCTTGCTCAAATTTTCTTTTTTTAAATATATGTGATTAATATTGTTGAATAAGTTGTATAGTGACTTTTCCCAAAGGAAAAAAAGGGGGAAAAAAAATTGTAATGCTTGAAATCAAAAAATTAATGTAAGAATAGATTATTAATTTTTTTTTTTTAGCCATAGATGGTAGGAAAGTAAAAAATTTTGCAAAAAAAAAAAAGAAAAAGGATTAACTCGTTTTGACCGGCCCATTTGAGCCCTTACCCATTTATTGGGTTGAAAATGGGTTACTGATCTATTCATACCCAACCCATTCCAAACTCATCCAATTGCAACCCATAATATTAATATATTATGAAAGAAGATCCCCAAATAAATAAATAAAACCTAGTAGTGGCTCATTAACATTCTTATTATACATAAATTGGAATACCAAATGGGTAAGAATTTTGAATAGGAATATATATGGAATGATATGAATTTTTTTTTTTTTTTTTTTTTTTTTTTTTTTTTTTTTCACAAGGCAAGAAATGTTAGAAGTTAGATTAGTAGAGACAGAGAGTGAAAGTCTGACACTCCAAAAGTCACCGAGGTACTAACCCAGACTAATGAAGCATCGGCATGGAATGATGTGAATAGGGAGCGGGAACACGATTTGGTACTTTACAAATGTAGAGAAAAAAGAAATTGTGATCTTTGATTGAAAAAAAGCTAAAAAGAATGTTATACCAAATGTAGAGTTAAAATTGTTTCCAATTCTAATTAACACTTTTTATTCCTTATTATCATCATTTTCATAACGAGTATGGGATTGCTTCTCTATTACTTAAAATCCATTTGTGTTTGGTAAACATTAAAAATGTTTTTAATAATTATAAAATTTAGCTCTGTATAACTTTTAAATGAAGCCTAGAATTTGGAACTTTCAAAACTGTGTTATGTGTAGAGGTCGAATATTTTAGGTAATTCTTTTTCATTAGACAATTTTATTTTTATTTTTTTATTTTTATAAAGAAAATTATACTCCCGTCTTAATAAAGTTCATATTATCAAATAAAGGATGACATCCTATTAAAAGATACTATTATAAAATTAGCAATAGAAGTGTTTTAAAAAAAATTGTTATCAAATTAATTAATAAAATAATTTAATTGTAAAAAAATACTTATTATAATGTAACACCAAACACTTAATATATTTAAGTAATTTTTTTATAGCTCTACTGATAAAAAAAATTCTCTTTTAATTCCAACAACAGTCCCAAACAGACTGTCAATCATATTGTGTACGAAGAACTAACCAATGTAGAACGAGTACCTTACGTGTACCTTGAATTTTAGGTAACGATTTTAATTTAATTTTGATTTTAGTATTGGTAAGGTCCCAACGTGGACCTTATATATATTTACCCACATTCCCTATATACATCTTCCAAATTTTGTGTTTAAGTGTGAACACAAAGTAAGCCACGCATATTCTTTGCGGTCTTAATTGTTCATTCTAATCCCTTTAATTAAACAAGGATGCTATAAAACTCCGAAATTTGGTAAAGTAAACAAAGGTAATGATGATCTCTTATTTATTGGTGAGTAAGAAATTGTAAAAAATATAATTAACAAAATATATATAGCAATCACATCTAACAATCTTTCTTGCATGAGGAATTTTTTATTCACTGATAAGTAAGAGATCATTTTTTATTCTCTATTAAATTTGCATAACCTTACTTTTAATTTTTTAATTGTTAAAATAAATTTTAAGTAGAAAATTTTAAAACAATTTAACTAATTTTTTTTTCATGAATATATTGCATGAAAAAGAAGGTATTTTTTATGTAAGTAATTTATTAAATTTTCATGAATATATTGGATGAAAAAGAAGATATTTTTATGGTAAAAAAAAGTTTAAACGGAGTATAATAAGTTTTATTATAAATAGTATAGTTTAATTATAAGTTTATCATATTAGAAATATTATAACAAATCTATTTTTTTCCCATTTTTATGATAAATTGATACTAATAATAAAATTAAAGTAATTGGTATAAACCAACGGGCCAGTGGCCTAGAGGTACCAGACTCTTACTTTCCAAAGGGATGTAAGGGGTTTGTGTGTGAGTACCAACGAAAAAAAAAAGAAAAAAAAAAAGAGGTAAATGGTATAATTAATATTTAGATAAGAGAAAAAGATAATAAAAATAATTTAATAAGAATGACAAATTTAATGAGAAAGGGTAAAATAGTCTTTTTGTAATGAGTTTGTCGTCCTTAATTGTAATAAATCAATAGTTGATGAGGTTATTTACATAAAGGCAATAGTTTTGGAGGGATTTTTTGCACTTTATCCTTCTTCTTTTTTATTTTTTAATTGAGATTAATTTTTCATTCAAAAGAAGGGAAATGATAAATACACACCTTTTTTATAAATATAAATGTATTTTTTTTCTTTAAACTATATATGATATAAATATTCTTTATACTAGATTCTCATGTCATTTCATACTAAAATTAGAGCGCATTTATAAAAGAAAATTCCCGTGGTATCAAGCAATTAAAGCATTCCATAATTTATTCATCATCGATTAGATACAATCCTCCATCCCACATGTACGGGGCAATTATGATATCACCTCCTTAAAAAGAATAATTTCATATTAAAATTAGAGTGGGTGTATAAAATAAAGGAGTGTATTATCACTTTCCTAACAAGAATTAATATTTTATATATATAGATTAGTAGGACTCATCCTTGATAATGTTAGAATTACAAACAAAAAAAATTCTAAGCAAAGGAAAAGAGGCGCTGAGAATTCCAAAATAAGGCTGAATAAAATGGAAAGAAAATTTAAAAAATAAAAAATAAAAAATAAAAATCCAAGACCGCCTTTTTTCTCTCTTAAGAAAGAGGGATCTTCTGAGGATTTTGTTAGTATAAATAACTAATCAACAAACCAACTTAGTTCCTTAAATACCTCTATATCTATATGATATATCTCTATTTACATGCACATCCTATATTCATTACACCATTCCTCCTCATTCTTCGTCTCTCTTTTCATACAAATAACAAGTCCATGTCCAAGGAAAAAAAAAAAAAAAACACGCGCAATGGCGGATGACTGGGATTTATGCGCGGTTTTGAAGAGTTTCTCCAATACTCAAGCCACGAACAACAACTACAATTATACCGAAGAAGATCGCCGCCCTATACCACCAGCCTTCCCTTCCTTCATTTCTCAACAAAATTATTTGCTTCCGAACAATATTGCTAGTTTTGAAGAATTACAAGAAGCATGCAACTCTTTTGTACCATTTTCACAACCCATAAACCCTAATATCATAAACCCTAATATCACTCCCACTCCCTGCTCATCGGCAAACGTTTCCAATATTCCTCCACAACCTCCTCCGAAGAAACCAAGGCCGTACTATTACCGGAGGAAGAAGAGTCTGCCAAGTAAGGTGGTGGAGGTGGTGGCTGAGGATCTGTTGGCGGTGGATCCGTGGTGCTGGCGGAAATATGGGCAGAAGCCCATCAAAGGCTCACCCCATCCTCGAAGCTACTATAAATGCAGCAGTGACACCACCAAGTGTCCGGCAAGGAAACATGTGGAACGGAGCCAAACCGATCCTAGCGTTTTCGTGGTGTCCTACGAGGGTGAGCACACGCACTCTCTTCCGACTCATCGGAACCCTCTCTCCGGCAGTACCCGAATCAATAAATGGGAGTCGGGTACGGATACGGATACGAGTTCTTCTCCGCCCATTATTCCTGCGTCGGCGCCAACATCAAGCGCAACAACTCTAGCTCCATGGCCTGAATCCGGGAAAAAAGTTTGTGAAGATGATCAAGAAGTGGTAATGATTTCAAACTTGGCTGTGGGGCCGACAGAAGATATTTATATGGGTATTCGAGAATTGGGTGGTGGTGGATATTAGGGTTTGTTTTAATTTAGATGAACAGCATGCAATCGTTTATTTTTTAGTAAGGATGTTTTTCCATCTTTTGGATATTAGGTCCTTTAAACTTTCGTTTTAATGTTTGTTTTCATTTTATGTCAAGTGAGTGATTTACTAGAGTGTTTCATTTATTAGCTAGGAGATATTTTTTCTATACACTAGATAATATATACTTCATAATGATAATTAATTGAATAGGTAGGCTAAGATTTACTGCCGATAATAAGACTTTACAATTAACTTTTTCACCACCCAAATCTCGAATATATATATATTTTGTGTGACCAGTAACTTCTCTACATAGATCAATCCACTAGATTGAAAACTGAAAAGAGACCTTATATTTTACAACCATAACATTTATTATATTAAGTAAATATTAAAATTCTTTTAGGTTATGTTGTAGTTTTGAAATTAGTAGAATTTGAGAAAAAATTAATTCAATTTTTTGAATTATTTTTCTCTAATTTTACTAATTCTAATTTCAAAATTCTAATTTCATGAAACTGAATATAATCTACGTTATCCATATAAAAACGCATATAAAACCTTTCGAGTTAATCCAATTCATATATATATATATATATATATGAAATTCAAGAAAATTAACGAGACACTAATCAACCAGATTCTCAATCCATATAAGCAATTCATGTTCAGGTTAAAGTGATTACATGAAAAGCTTTTATGAATTTTTTTAATGAACAGGGCCGACTGATTTAGATTCATCCAAAGATCCACCAGACCACTTGCAATAGAGAAATTATTGTATGAACCAAGTCCACCATCTCATTTGGCCGAGTTGGTGGACTACACCACCTAATTCTAGACACATGTAATAAAAAAATTATTTATATAGTCAATTTATCACTTCAGCTTTGCAACATCTCTTCCTTCACACAACTTTAATCTCTCTCCTCTTTCTCTCTCTCTACAATTTCGCATCAATATACCAACCAAACCTACCTCTTCAGAGATGGTGCTTCAGCCATAGTAGTCTTTTAATGAAGGAAAGCGAAATTGAGGATTCTCTGCTTTCTCCACTTTCTGCACAGAAAATACTTTCTATTATTTGTAGCATTCACTCAAACATCATCCTCTCCCTCTCTATCATCATCCCACCCTACCATTCTCAAAAAAATGAAGCAGATCCTCTTTCATACCCAAATCAACTAAATGTTCAATGGGTTATTGATTGGGGTTTTCATGGTGTGTTAATTGAGGGATGCACATGTGGTGGCTGGTGGAGGTCAATTTCTGGCCGTCAATTGTAATAGTTATGATATATATATATATATATATATAACATGGGTTGTCAATTTACAAAACAAAATTAAATTCATGTAAGGAGGAGTGGGCTTCAGCAATTGATTGAAGGCCAAAACACCGCCATCACTCTCACCGATGATTGTAAAAATTTAAGAAAAGCATACTCACTGTCACTCATGGTAATCAAACCTAGATTAAAATTTTTTTAGGGAGAGGAATATAAACAAAAATAAATAAATAAATAAATAATTAAAATTAATAGGGCAATCTGGGATTTCATTGTGGGAAGAGCTTGAGGATCACAACATCCCCAAATGGGACTCTCCATCACCGGCGGTATAGGTGCAAAATTCTGCTCAACCAATAACAATTGAGAAAAATAATACAACACACTCAAGAATAAATAAGAACAGTGTATAGATAAGCGTAGAATTGCTTGGGATCCTTTTATTGGAGGTCTGGGCCTCTATTTATATACAAAAGTTAGAAGAATTATGGTAGGACTCACGTTGCTTGTCCTCTAATTCTTTCCATATATTTCTTTACAAACGAAATTCTTTCCTCTTTATAATTCTTCCCTTACCGGATTTGCCTTACACAGAACTTACTTCCTTTGATGAATCCTTTTCCTTGTAGGACCGGCTCCTTCTTTAAATGGATTTAGGCCGCATCTAACTTGGTACACATGACTGCTGGTGTCTTGATTCGAGCTATAGTAAAGCTGGTAGTTGATGAGATGGGCTTTGACCTTTATCGAAGATAAAGTTTTATTTATGATGACGTGGATTGCTCTTATTGGAGGGAGATTTTTCTCTCCATACTTTGCCCCCAATTCTCTCTTTAATTGGATTACGGCTCCTATTAAAAGGGGAATTGAAGTTGCACGGTTGTCTTTTTTACCAAAAGACGTTTCGAAGATTGCCCATTGCCATTCTACCTTAAGAGATTCTATAAGGGTTACTTTTGCTCTCACTACGTTTCTTGCATTCTTCACTCCGTCGTCCTATCAGGTTAGTTCTTCATCTTTTTCTCTTCGATCTTGTATTATGAGTACTTCGACTACTCCTGAACGTTTAGTTATCGTAAATTCTAAGTCCACTCCCTCGTCTTCCCCTAATCTCATTAGGGTTCCCCCACCTAGGGTTTCGAACTTTCTTAAACCTGTAAGTGACTCAGCTAATCAGCCAGGTGCTTCCCTGATCCAAGCTGAAACATCCACCTCTGGGTCGGACAATATCCTCACTAAGGAAGAAAGGAATGCAATTCTATCTATTCGACACATCCCCGTTCTCTATTGAATCCGTAATGGAAGAATTCGAGATTCCCGCGGGGATAGAAATTGCAGAGTACCCCAAAGGCGCTGATTTTTGCGCCGGCGAGGGCGTCGGAGAAGACGAGTTGCTCCTCTTTGTTGGGCATCTCAACACTCTTAGGTTCCCCCTTCATCCCTTCTATCATTTAGTCTTCAACAAATTGGGGATTGCACCCTTGCAAGTAAACCCTAACTTCCTTCGAGTAATCTCAGCACTCCTCATTCGCCGGTGGCAGGAGAGTCTTGACCTGACTCTGGCTGACTTGCTGATTACTTATTCTATTTCTAAGCATGGAACCGAACCTTGTCGTTTCTTTTTCACTTCCCCCTTGCACCAAAGGATATGTACAGACCATCCTACTTCTGAGAAGAAGTGGAAAGAGAGGATGATAATTGTTAAAGGGAGATGGGCCGTGCCCCAATTAAGCAAACTCCCAATCCCTCGCAAATTCGGGAAGTTAGGTATAGAACATCCCCAATTTCTTCATGAAGAGTGCTCGGGCTATTTCCCATGTCGAGTCTTATTATTTCGATATATTTACGAGTTTCTTGGTATTTTTTCAGCAACATTTCCTTCTTCGGTTGCCAAGAAGGGCTTTCCTTCCTGGAAAAGCAGGTCTGGAGTAACCCTCCCTCGATCGAGAGCTTACTCACTTCTGCGAGTCTTAAAGCAGTTGCTTCCAGAGCTGTAGCCGCTGATCTCATGGACCTCTCACTTGCATCATTTGACAGCTTCCCCATGACTGAGGAAGAAAAACAGAGGGCAGAAGCCTTGAAGAGGAAAGCTGTAGAGAATGCTCCATTGACTATACTGCGTACAATGAGCAGGAAAAGGAGATTGACGAAGTCCCTTTGAACAAAAGGGCAAGGCTGAATTCCTCTTCAACAGTGAAATCCAAGGGTGCTTCCAACCCAAAAAGCAAAGGGAAGAAAACCGAAGAGGTTAACCCTGAGGATGAGGTCAGCGCTTACGTCCTTGCCGAGGCTGGAGCACCTTGGACTCCTTCCTTCTCGAGGGCTGACAAGTCCATCCTCCATGTTGGTGATTCTATGATCACTGACCCATCTGCAACACTGGCCGTTACTCGGGGAATGTGGCTCCCCAAGGATGAAGAAATTATCGGCAGAATGGGGTTGGAACAGCTACTCCCATCTGCCCCTATTCGAGCCATAGAAGTTTGCTCCGTCCTTCATTTCCATTGTCATAATTGCCTTACACACTTTCTTACATTGTTATTATCTCATAATGCAGGGCTTGTATCATACTATGGCCCTCTGTGCTACTGCTGAGGCTCAGTCTCTTTTCCTTAAGAAGCTGGAGAAAGACTTCAGTAATTCTGAGAAGAAGGCATCCCATGCCTTTGCCAATGCGCAAATTGCATACGAGGCTCGGGATGTTTACAAGAAGCATTTGGCTGCTTCTGATGCCAAAGTTGAGTCGCTGGAGGCTGAAGTCCAGCGTTTGAATGATGCCCTTAGCACCTGCATCATTGCAGGGAGGCAGATGTAAGGTCGTTACACCAGTTTGGTGGGCCTTCAGGTCCGACTTCAATCAGGGTTCAGGGGAGAAGACTATAGATCCCGAGGCTTTTGATGCCCATATGGGAGCGTCTTTCCCTTATGATGAGGGTCCAAAAGCTTAGGAAGCTGAAGTTCTTTTTGCCGAGATGGTGAAAGCTCATCCTGAGGTCCATTTAGCTCCAAGTGTCTCCACTCTTGCAACTGGTCCATCAAATCCTCCATCTGCAAGTCCAGCTATGGTAGATGCTTTTGAATCTACCCGTTTGATCCAAAGAGGAAGTAGGATCGAGTAATTTTTTATTTATTTATTGGTAATGAAACAACATTGGGAATGAATGATATATCCACGTTTCTTAAGCTGTGTCATTTTTATTCTGCTTCGACTGAGTATGCTTGTATTGCACACACTTTGTTAGATAAGATTATTTTTAAGGAAAGTACCCTGCCTGAGAGTTCCTTATCTGTTCTATTCTGAAGCAAAATAAATAAGATGTGAAGAAGAGATCTCCTCTAATGGCTTATCTGATAATAGAGGATTGGTTTTTTCCTTTGGTGATTTAACCATTAAGGGAACCCTTCTTAAAATAGATTTGTGTGAAGCAAGTATATTTATACTTGTTTCTTCTTATAGTTTTTTGATGTGGGACAATCTCGTGGCTTATATTACCGAACTTAGAATCAGTGAATATAAGCGTAAGAGTAAGGTTTGCCGAGACGGACACTAGGGGTCCTAGGCGAATAAATTATTCCCCGGACACTTAGTGTCCGAGGCGAATAAATTACTCCCTGGCACTGAGCCTGAGGGGAGGTTTGTTTGCCAAGCCGGACACTTAGAATCCGAGGCGAATAAATTACTCCCCGGCGCTGAGCCTGAGGGGAGGTTTATTTGCCGAGCCGGACACTTAGGGTCCGAGGCGAATAAATTACTCCCCGGCGCTGAGCCTGAGGGGAGGTTTGTTTACCGAGCCTGACACTTAGGGTCCGAAGCGAGTAAATTACTCCCCGGCGCTGAGCCTGAGGGGAGGTTTGCCGAGCCGGACACTTAGGGTCTGAGGCGAATAAATTACTCCCCGGCGCTAAGCCTGATGGGAGGTTTGCCGAGCCGAACACTTAGGGTCCGAGGCGAGTAAATTACTCCCCGGCGCTGAGCCTGAGGGGAGGTTTGTTTGCTGAGCCGGACACTTAGGGTCCGAGGCGAATAAATTACTCCCCGGCGCTGAGCCTGAGGGGAGGTTGGTTTGCCGAGCCGGACACTTAGGGTCCGAGGCGAATAAATTATTCCCCGGCGCTGAGCCTGAGGGGAGGTTGGTTTATTATTTTTCTCAAACAACTTATTAGGAGGCCGAGGATTCAAAAATGATAAGAGGCCAAGAAAGCGAGTAACAGTGGCTGTGAAGTTTCCTATTTGTTGACTTTGGAGACTTTCCTCCTCCATTGATACTCCCTTCTTGGCAACCAAATGTAGTGGACTACGCATATATTAACCGCATTTCTTATCTATTTCTATCCGATGTGGGACATAGACTAAATTTTGTCAAAAAGGTCGGTGTAAGGAATGCCTCTGGTATTGAGCTTGACAACCTTTAATACCAGTGGATCCTCCTTACACCGCAATCAACTATTTGAATATTCCCATATATAACAGAATGTAGCACATACTTTTTTGTCGATGTGGGATAGAAAGTTTTAACCATAGGCCATAACTCATGTTTTTTCTTAAAAATTATTGTGACGAATGCTTTTTAACAGCTTGCTTCTAACATTGCTTTGCATAAAAATTGCATAGTGTGACTTGGCATGCATAAAAATTGCATAATCATAGAGTAGTATGAAATAAAAATTGCATAATGCGACGCATGCATAAAAGTTGCATAATCATAGAGTAGTATGGCCCCCATTTTTATGGAAAGAAATAAATGGAGTAAAATTGTACTAAATATGATAGAAGCAAAATAAAGAAAAGTTTGGCTGACTGTGGATATACTCAGCCTTATTTGTGAAGAATTTGTAGCAAAATTGACAAACTTATCTAATGAAAATACCTTTTAAGGTGTATTGGATTCCAAGGACGCGCAATGGGACGTCCGTCAGCTTCGGCCAAACGATATGCTCCTTTCCCCACTACTTCGGTAACCCTGTAGGGTCCAGTCCAATTAGGTTCCAGTTTCTTTACATGAGCTGTCTCTTGCTTCAAAACCCAATCGCCTACCGCAAAGCTCCTGAATCTGACATGTTTGTTATAACTGTTGCTCAGCTGTTGCTGATATGAAGCAAGCCTAATTGCTGCAACATCCCTTTTTTCGTCCAGGAGATCGAGACTATGTTCAAGCTGCTGACTATTGTTTCCTTCAAGCAATAAGAATGTCCGAAGGGTTGGAACTGCCGCTTCGGTTGGGATCACAGCTTCAGATCCATAAGCCATGGCAAAGGGACTCTCTCTCGTAGGCCGCCGTGGTGTGGTTCGGTACGCCCAAAGCACCTGAGAGAGATTCTCGTACCATTTTGTTTTGAATTTCTCCAATTTCTTCTTTAAACAACTGAAAATTGTCCGATTAGTTATTTCAGCATGTCCATTCCCTTGTGGATGACTAACTGCAGCTAACTTTTGTACAATTCCATGCTCAGCAAAGAATTTTCTTGTACTTCTATTATCGAGGTTCTTACCATTGTCCATCATAATGACTTTTGGAACCCCAAACCGGCAAATGATGTTGTTCCAAAGGAAAATTTTTACCTGCTCATGGGTCACACTTGAATAGGCCTCGGCTTCTACCCATTTAGTGAAATAATCTGTAGCCAGTAGCACGTACTCCTTTTGTTCCACAGTCTTAGGTAACGGGCCCACCATATCAATCCCCCATTGTGCGAATGGCCATGGATTTGCCATTGCGTGCAAATCTTCGGCAGGTTGATGCTTCATGGGACCATGACGTTGACATTTGTCACACCTCCGTGTATACTCTTCTGCATTCCGGGACAAGTACGGCCAGAAGTAACCTTGAGTCAGGACTTTATACGCGAGGGATCTGCCCCCAGAGTGGTTACCACAATCTCCGTCATGGATTTGTCTCAACACCACAAGAGCCTCAGTAGGGCTTAAACATTTCAGGTAAGGACCTAAAAATGACTTTCGGTATAACTGATTGTTAATGATGGCATATTTAGCTGCGGTGATACGGAGCTTCCGTGCTTCGGACTTCTGGTCTGGAAGAACTCCATGCTTAAGGTAAGCTTCCAATGGATCAATCCAGCATGGTTCTCGAGGAATAACTGGAACCACCATTACTTCCTGCGGAGGATTAATGCTGGGCTCGTCCAGAACGTCAATCGGCACAATCCGAATCAAATCCTCATTTGAAGATGACGCTGATGTGGCCAATTGATCTGCTTCGGCATTCTCAACACAAGGTACCTGATAGAATTTGATCTGATCGAATCCCCGTGCAATGTTCTCTACAGCTTCTTTATATGCTTTCATTCTTTCCTCTTTGGGATGGTACTGACCTGTCACTTGATTTATAATAAGTTGTGAGTCACTAAAAACCTTTAAGCAACGTACCTGGAGACTGCTAGCCAATCGAAGACCAGCAAGTAATACCTCGTACTCGGCTTCATTGTTAGTAGCTGGGAACTTCAAACAGATAGATTGCTCCAGCTTGGTGCCTTCGGGTGTTGACATTACAACGCCTACTCCTGCACTTGCTTGATTCGAGGAACCATCAACTCGAAGTTCCCACTGTAGTTCAAGGTGTGCCGGCTCTTTGGGAGTATCTTCATACTCGAGAAGAAAGTCCGCTACGGCTTGTCCTTTGTGCGACACCTTTGGCTTATAAGTTATATCGAACGAACTAAGCTCGATAGCCCACTTGGTAATTCTCCCAGATAAATCGGGCTTAGAGAGTATACCCCGTATAGGATAGTTAGTGAGTACCACAATGCTATGAGATTCATAATAATGCCGAAGCTTCCTCGTGACGTAGATCAAAGCTAAGATGACTTTTTCTGCTTTACTATATCGCGTCTCCGCATCTGTCATGGTCTTACTTGTGTAGAAGACTGGATATTGCCTCTTTCCTTCCTTTCTAATCAATGCTGCACTTGTCGATGTATTAGAAATTGCCAAATACATAATAAGAACCTCCCCGGGTTTTGGAGCGGATAGAATTGGTGGTTCAGCCATGTAACCTTTCAACCGACTGAGGGTCTCCTGCTGCTGGGGTCCCCATATATCTTTATTCTTGGATCGTATAGCATCGAAGAATGGTTTGGACTTATCTGACAATCGGGATATAAACCGGCTGAGTGCTGCGATCCGACCAGTAAGAACCTGCAAAGGATTATTAATTTATATTTGATTTAGGATCTTTTAGTAATAAAATAAACAAATTCATATAATATTTAATAAAGAAATTTAACAATATAATGATTTCCAATATAGACTACCTTACATAAAATAACACTACACACTTTTTTTTTTAGTTAAAGGTAAGCTTAAATTAAGAAAAAATAGAATGTACAAGAACAGCCCAAAGGCACAACCAGCACAAGGCGGCCAGACAAACCGAGATCATACAACAACCCACCAACTTCAACAAGTAAAAACGCCCACATGAACAACCTAATCAAATATACTAAACTCACAAAAGATACACTGAACTAACTAATCAGTAAAACACCATGTTTGTCCTCTTGCAAAAGAACAGCCTTGTTAAAAACAACTGTAATAAGCTCTCATGTGATCCAACCATTCTGAGATGACTACCATCCCTTAGTGTCAAAGATGCAAGCTTAGTTCGAACATAACTTTTGATGAGGCAAATGATGTGATGAGGGGAAGAAGCTTTGTTCCTAAAGGCCCTTACATTCCTCTCCAATCAGATATAGTAAATTGCAGCATTGAAGAGCAGTTTGTGGATGAAAAAAAATTTTGAGGACCATGAGGCAGAACATCACTTGATTAGATCCCCCCAGTTGTCCGGTAAAATATAGAATACAGCTACATGTTGTATAAACAAACCAAATATGAGCACTGAAGCTGCAATTAAAGAAAATGTGAGCCAAAGATTCATTATCAACAAGGCAGAGGAAGCATCTATTAACATAATAACATTATACACTTCATCCACAATAATGATCCTATTACTAGTCATTTAAGAAATAGTTTAATTGTATTATAGTCATTTAAAAAAATTAAATAAGTCGTAATTTGTTAAAAATAAAACATCTAACAATTATATATTTCGAAAGTTATACTGTCACGAACAACCCCATCTTATTGTCATCGTCAATGTTCCTATCATGTGATGTTCATCGCTATTATTTCCATCTTCATCAAGCACTAAATCCAAATTCTCATCGTAGCATTGAAATTTCTCTTCAACAATAGTTATTCACCTTATAAAATTATGAATCGCTGTGGATGTGATCGTAAAGTTTGCACAGAGAAAAGTAAAGAAGAAATATCTTTGTATCAATTCTATTATAATGTCGAAAATACAATGAAATATATACATAATATATAATATAAGAAGCCCTAAACTAATAATCTCTAAACTAATAAACTAAGCAAATGACAATACTACCCACAACAATAAAAATAAATCATACCTGTGATACCCCCTAATTTCGGAACACGGGTTGATCAGGTCCGCGCACAAAATTAGGGAAATATCAAAACAATTATAGTATTTAAATAAGCACAGATTACAAAATGAAATAAAGAATAAAATAAAACGCTGAAGAAACTAATAAATAGTAAATCCCTTAATAACTTCCAAACGGTTACAACTCGGGAATCCTGTAACTCAAGGACCCCTTAACCAAAATCCATAATCCAGAAGTTCATTATTAAATACTAATAACAAAAGAAGAAATAATAATATCCTACTTTTAAATAAACTAAAAGAGTGAGTAAGTCCTCCAGCTGCAGATCCTCAACCTTAAGACTTGAACTTCTAATAACTTGAAAAATAAATCGTGGGTTAAACCCTACGAGCAAGCTCTCTCTACCAAGCCTCTGAAAATCAATAAACAAACCATCTCTGCCAAAACCATCCCTCATAAAGCTTGAATTATAATATACGATGCTACAAATATATATAAATACTTATATATACAATATAATAATCATATCTGTTACTAGGTTCCTTAAATTGTCGAAACCATTCACCAATGATTAATCATCAGTCATACCTAGACCAATCCCCAAGTTATAATGTTCTCATAAAGTAAACTCCATGCATCTTAATTCCTTCCTAAACAGTAACTTAATCATTAAAGTAATAAATTACAATTTAAGGAATAATCCAATAAATCCAAAACCTAGTAATACGGTTAATTGTTTAAATTACATGACCAAAATTTGAGCTTTGACAAATCATCCATGTCTTCACCAATATTATTTTATTAATATAAAATAATACATTAACATGTGCGTACTAGATTATTCTAATCATAATCCAACTTATACAAACAATAACCTTAGATGAAAGTTTAATCATCTAAGCACATAACAGTTTAATTATGCAATGACAAATCAACCATGCCATTTATAAATATATCTATTTATATACTAGCAATTCTACCATGCTTTCTTAAGTATATTTACTTACACCATTAATTAGCAACTCAACCATGCTTCCCATATATGAAATTTATTCATATCTAATAAGGCAGTATATTTAAGCCTTTGGCAACTCATCCATGCCGACAATTCAACCATGTACCAACCTTAAACTTAACAAGAAGTTAGTCTGTACGTAGACATCTTATGCATCTTACACGCATCACATTAATTTAATAATCAGTCAATCCAGATACTCTTAAATAATATATATATATATATATATATATATCAATCTACATATATATATATATATATATATATATATATAATCATATATTAATTAATCCATACGTTACATATATATAACAAATATATATACACACACTTCCTTCCAACCAAATTATTAGTTAATTCTAATCACGCCAAATAGATGCAATTAAATATCGTAATAACATCCTACAACCCTCAAACATCTAAAATACATCATCTAATGATTAATTTCAAAATTAACCAGTTTGAAATCAATCCTGGAACATCACCGGAGCCTACAGTGACTTTTCGGAACCTCAACCAGTGCCACACGCGCCCACACGCGCCACCCTACTCTCCTTCACACCTTGCTCGCGCCACCACGCGCTCAGTCTCCCTGGCAGGCGCGTCCACGCGCCTGCACGCGCCCTCTACACTCTCGGCGCGTGTTGGCAGCCCTTCATTGGTTGTCCTCCGTGTTTTGGTGAGCCGCGATGTAACGGATCAGCTCCCATCCATCAACCACATCTAAGCCATTACATACCGCATGTGTATAACCTTATGATGTACCGCATCACACTAGATCAATCCAACTAATTTAAATTAATCATATGGTCTAGATTAATGAGTGTACCTTTCTCCTACGCACATGACCGCAATGGATAAAACCCCTATTGATTCGCAAACTACACTGTCGCCTCCAGTGAATGTTACAACTAACATATATATATATATATATATATATATATATATATATATATGTGATAATTTGCCCAGAAAAATATTAAAACAAATCTAATAAATTTCTGAAAAATATAAAACCAGTTTAGAAAATTCCAAAAAAATATATAAAGTTCCCCCAAAATTCTATAAATCCTAATTAACCATTTTGGTTCATAGATCAATATATAGTTGATTTTAATCCATTTAATAATTAAGCATGCTAAACATAATTAAATCAACCTTTAAAAAAAAAATACAGAAAATAAAATTTGATTATTATAACCTCACATACAAAACTAAATTTTCATAACAATACATATATACATTCACATGTTTAAATTTATTACATTCACATGTTTAAATCTATCACTTTGCAAAGAATAAGCATGTTCCATCTAATCCGATTAATAAATTATTTTTAATCAACAAGATAAGAAATAATTTTGATACTCAAGGTGATAAGTTTATGAATTCTAAGAGAGAAGTAGAGAAGAACTCGCATGTCTCTTCTAAATCCGGCCTCCTCTTTTTCTGATCCGCCTTCCTCTTTATGAGCCCTTTTTTCCTCTCTCTCTGACTCCCTTATTTTTCTAACGTAAAAAAAAACTCCTAACCCTAAAGTCTTATTTGTCTATTTATACACATCAAAACTAAATCATTTTCCCATTATGATTAACATATAAAATAAATAATATTTATCTTCTAAATAATATATATACACATATATTTTAATATAAATATGTATATTACCTTCCATATATAATCATTAGTTAAATAAATTATATATTCCTATATATATAAATTTGCAAAGATAATGATTAAATATCTTCACAACCATAGGCCTTTAATAACTAACCCAACAAGGCTTTCTTCAAGCCCAATACCACATCCGTTGGTCCAACTTCCCTTAAACCCAATCCAAATAATTTAAATACATAAAATAATTAAATAAATAATACGCACAAGCTTAAACGCACACAAATCAAATAAACAATTCACTCATTAGTATTTCACAACTCAAACACCATACAAATTTAACAAATAAAATTACAAAATATAATTCAATTAAAACAAGACAGTATATCTACACACTTAATTAAATAAAACAAATCACAATTTATCTACGTACTTAATTAAATAAAACGAATCATTAAAAAAATAAATAAAAATAACAGCACTTAAATTAAAAAAAAAAATAATAATAATATTAGTAATTACTTCCAATTAATAAATCCTTTAAAATATTGGGGTATTACAATACCCACAACAATAAAAATAAATCTTACTTTAATACCCCCCTCAACTCACGAAGTGACAGTGTGAAACATCGAGAGTTTGATAAGAAGAAAATGAAAACATAAAATAGAGCGGGACTTTATAAAGAAGTCAACCAACTGTAAAGAAACAAATGGTAGATAAATGGTGCCAAGCTGAAGGTGTTGACACATGAAATGAATGACAATCTCGATGTGCTTAGTGCGTTCATGAAAAAACATAAGTACATGAAATCTGAATAGCACTACTGTTATCATAGTATATAGAAGTTAGAGCAACAAAAGAAACACCTAAATCAACAAGCAACCACCATAGCCAAATTATTTCTGTTGTAGTTGCAACCATGGCACGATACTCAACTTCAGTAGAAGAACGAGCAATAACTATTTGCTTTTTGCTTTATTTTCCAGGAAATTAGAGAATCATCAAGAAAAATATAAAATCCAGTGGTGGACTTATGATCTGTTGGATCTCTAGCCCAATCAGCATCAGAAAAAGCACGAAGATCCAAGGATGATGTCGAAGAAAACAACTAACTTTGGTGCAACATCCCTCTAAGCTAATGCAAGATACGTACGAAGAACTACAGCCTAGTGAACAATAGTAGGAAACAATACAAACTAGCTGACAATATGAACAACATAGGTAAGATCAGATCGAGTGACAGTGAGATATACTAAACTACCAACTATAGTTCAATATAAGCTAGGATGAGCCAAAGGGACACCATCCATAGCGAATATTATGATCAATGAGAGTCTTAATTGTCCAAGTATCAGTAAGATAAGCTATATGAATAACATTTAATGTATACTTAGATTGAGAGAAAAGATAATCTTTGGGAGAATGAGCTCCTTTAATGTCGAGAAAATAACATAAAGGACCAATATTCTTTATCTCAAACTACTGTTGTAATCGAGGCTTTGAGAGAGCAATGCTTGCCAATTGCGTCGTCACTCATCAAAATCATGTCATTAACACACAAAAGAAGAAGAATACATCCAGTGCAAGTGAAACAATGAAAAAAAGCAGAATCGTGATCATTAGAACAAAAACCCAAAATATCTTTTTGAGTCTGCTCACCTTACCAAGACTATGAGAAAGACCACGAGGACAAGTTATATAAACTTCTTCATTCAAGTCCCCATTCAAAAAAGCATTTTTAACATCAATCTGAGACAAATTCCACTAATGAACAACAACAATAACAATCAATGTGTGAACTATCATAATTTTGGCTACAAAAGCAAAGGTCTTATCATAGTCAATACCATATTCTTGTGTAGAACCTCTTGCAACCAGACGTGCTTTATATCGTTCAACATAGCCATCAGACTTTGTCTTGATTTTATAGACCCGCCTACATCTAATTGTACATTTATCATAGGGTAACAACACCAAGTATCATGTGCCAGTCTTATGCAATACAAAAATCTTTTCATCCATTGCATGTTGCCAAAGAGGATTAAGAACAATCTCCTTATAGGAGGTGGGCATAGAAAGAGAATGAATATGTGCCAAAAAAGAATAGAAAGTAGTATAATAATAAGAATTAGAAAAATCAAAACGATTGAGACATGCACTTATGAATACGCTGAGGACAGCGAGGAGGGGCACGATCCATATTATCAGAAACTAATTGAGAGTCTGCCAAGAGAGATGAAAGAGATGTACCTGCAAAATAAACTGTTTTATTCATGCGAGTGTAAGTGTGAATAATAGGAGGAGGGACAATAGAAGAAGATGTCGGTGCAGAAGAAGATGAAACATCATAAAGAGGTAGAACATCAATAAAAGACGTACTGAAAATGTCATCTGGAAAGGGAATCATCAATATAGATAAGATCAGACTGACTCAAAGTAGTAGAGCTTGAGGAGATAGAAAAGAAAGGAATATGCTAAAGAAACACCAACATGGAATGAACCTCTGAACCAGCCATTTGCACTAGAAAAACAGCAACACAAAGCCTTGTCTATAATCTTCAAATACACACTCGCACTATATGGATTACTGAGATGATTTAGCTTACAAATTAGTCTCACAACTCAGTAAAAGTTCATTGTTCTTAGTGTCTCGAGTGCTTATTGTAATACCCCTACTTTTAAAAGGATAGTCTCGACATTTTTAATTATTGTTTTATTGCATGTTATTTGATTATTTGACATTTTAAATTGCTAATTTGCTTAGTTACTTAATTGTTTTAATTGTGGTGATTAATTGACTTAGTTGTATTATTTGTTTTATTTACTTGAATTCATTGTTTTAATTGTTTTATGGTAATTGTGTTATTTATTTTATTTAAATGAATTGATTGGTTTATTTGAATAAATTAGTTTTATTAATTATTAATTTATTATTAGGGTTTTATGTTTAGGGTTTTACGGGTTAGTCGACTTAGGGATAGGTTTAGTATTTTCTTTTATTTTCTTTTCCTGCTCTAAGTAAGATTAGACTTAGGGTTTATACGAGTATATATATATTAGTATTGGTCTGCCAAGGGTTTTGGAGAACCCTATTCATGTACTGGAGGCAGAGAGAAATAGAGGAGTTGAGAATAGTAGGAATTGCCAACAGTTTAGGAAGACGACGGTGCAAGGTTTCAGACTGAGACCTAAAGGCAAGTTATATTCCTAACTCTCTTCCTTTGACTCGTATTCTTTACATGCCAAACACAATTCCAGGAATAAATAAACGTTAATTTAATCTGGTTCTCATGTTAGGTTTAATTATAACAGTATGTCTTTACATGAATTGGTGTTTGCTTGTTTTTAAATTTTCTTGCATAATTCATGTTTTAATTGATGTCGATTAATGAATAAGAATTTAATTGGTCCTGGAACACACTGGAACCTAGTTCAGGCACCTAGGAACCTTAGGAATGGAGGATAGATGAGCGGAAAGTCGCCGGACTGGAAGGAGATAAAGGAACAGGAGGAGAGCCGGCCCCTTTTTGAAGGGAGCAGGCTCCCCTAAGCAAAGAGCAGGCTCCCTCAAGGAGGGAGCCTGCTCTAGGAGTCTTGGAGGCGGCTCCCCCTTGTGAAGAGCCAGCTCCATGAAGTAGGGAGGCGGCTCCCTCAAATTTTTATTTTTTTTTAGCTTTTCAATGACTTGTTTAGCTACGGTGCTTGGATTTTTAAGTTTTCAGATTCAATCAGAAGCTATACTGGGGCTTTTCAGAGATGTCCTAAGCTTTATTAAAACTCTCGGGAGCCTTGTTAATGCATAATTAATCACTCTGTATTATAGCTTGAACAATATAAAATTCTTACACAAATTGGTATACTATTTTAGATGTGAAGGATTAAAATTGTTCACCATTATTTTTGCAATTTTTCGAGAATGATTTATGGTTAATCATGTTACAGTGTTATATAATAAGCATGTGAATTTATATATTCTATTATGCTTACTTGGAATGAATTGATGTTTGCATGTATGATCTATATTATCAATTATTAGACTTTGCGGAGTAGTATCAAATAAGGCTGTTAATTTACACAATTTTATCATATTTTGTATGGAACAATTGATGTTTATATTTAATATTTTTATTATCAATTGTTGGATTTATGGATTAGTTGGTATTTAGACTCATTGTCTGTATTATCAACTGCTGGATGTTAGATCGTATGCACCGGTATGGGACGGTGGCATACTAGGGATGGATTAGCTCAAGACGCTAAGTCCTACCTATTCTGGAATAAAGGAACAGATTATGAGAATAAAATCCTACTTATATGTAAGTCAGTGCAGCTGAACAAGCTGAATGGCTAACTGGATTTATGATGGATGGATATGATAGGACTTTAAATATATATTTATGATACCGCGATATGAGCTTGAGTCTCAGAATTGATGGTTAGGGAGCGTATGTGCAGTAGGATGCGTAGCTGGCTATATTGGTTGAGGTATACCCTGTTAGGCTTAGGTATCCATGCCCACTCAGGTGCGTTTTGCATGTTGCCTTCTATTCAGGCTGAGACCCTCTTCATAGTCTAGTGAGAGTCCCGTAGTGTGGATATATACATATATACGGATTATATAGCTATTATTGAGTTGTTTAGGATGTACATGCATATCGAGTCTCTGTTTGGATTGTAGTAGGATAGAACTTGTTCGTGGGCCTAACCCACTTCTACTTTGTTCAGGTGTACGTCAGTTCCAGACTTAGAGCTTGTTCGTGCTGAGCAGAGACAGTCACTCATTCTTTCGACGACGTAGGATCCCTCTTCATAATTTAGTACTGGATTTCTTTTAGTTATTTTCGTTTCAGTTTGGGATATTATTAGGGGTCCACTGATGGATTCCCAAGTTGTTATCTTGGAGGTTTTGGATTGGCAAATTATTATTCATATTTATTTCTAATGGTTTTGGGATTATTGGATTTTAAGTATTTAATTTTAAAGAATTATATTTTAGAATTCTTTCAACTTTTAATTATTTATTTCTTATTTCATTTTGAAAAATCTGTATTCATTTAAATATTAATTGTTTGATATTTCCTCGGGTTTGGGCTTGGGCCTGATCAACCCATGTCTCAGAGTTAAGGGGTATCACAGTTGGTATCAGAGCACTCCAGGTTCAAGTGTCTCTAGGGTTATATCGTATAAGACTTCCGCGTAGCGTTTTCTTTTGATTAGAGCTTAAGTTTAAGATTCATTGTATTCCTTTACAGTTCAGTTTAAATCACTCTGATGTCTGTCTTTCCGTGTTAACAGATGGTTAATGCTAGAAGAGGACAGAACATGCAAGGAAATAGGAAGCAAAGGAGAGTGGCACGTAGGCAGCAAAAACGCCTACAACGTCAGCAAATGGAAGAAGAGCAGCAATTGCCAAGGTTCCAGGATGATGATGGTCTGTTTCAAGAAGAGCAGGAGGGAGTTCAACAAGCTCATGATCAGGTCAGAGATCCAGAGTATCCTCCTCATATCAATAACCTCATTACTCGGGCTATAGAAGCAGGGGTAACGGCTGCATTACGGAATCAGCCACAGGTTCAGCAGGCACCTATACTAGAACCAGTGGTTCAGGTTGATACTTAGGAAAAGGCTAGGAGTTCTTTCACAAAGGGGAGCCCACCAGAGTTCTCAGGCTCCACTGATGCGAAAGCAAATCATCAGTGGAAACAGGTCATCGAGCGACATCTTCGTCTGGTTCATTGCACGGAGGTTCAGAAGTAGATGCTTGCTATCTTCAAGCTAATTGGAGATGCACTACAGCAATGGGAGTCAGTTACCACCGTAGAAAGAGAGGATGTCATTGACTTATGATCAGTTCAGTGCACGTTTTGATGAGAAGTACTTTCCTTATGCAGCTAGGGTAGCTATGAAAACTGAGTTTCTTAATCTGCAGCAAGGAAACATGACAGTGATAGAGTATGAGCAGCAGTTCATGCGCTTATCTCTTTTTACTCCAGATGAGGTGGATACAGAGGAGAAGAAGCACAATAGTTTCGTTAAGGGACTTATGTGGTCTATCAAGCGAGCTATTATAGGTAGTCCAGCCTATACTACTTATGCTCAAGTGGTGGACTCCGCTCTACAGCAGTATCAGTTGACCGTGGACTTCAGACAAGCACAGGGTGACAAAGACTCTGCTAATCAGTCAGCTGAGAAAGGGAATGGTAATGGACACCGACAGAATGACAAGGGCAGATTCCAGGGACAACTGTCTTGGAAGAAGCACAACGGTGGTTCTGATGCTCACAGGGATGGGGCACCTATTCAATGACAGCAGAATGGGGGACCACAGGCAGGACAGGGTCAGCCACAAGCTAACCGACAGATGAGGCCATTTGGTACTTTCCAGGGTAGTTGTTACACTTATGGAGAGTATAGTCATACTTCCAGGCAGTGTCCTAAAGTAGGACAGGGACAGCATGTGCATCAGGGGCAGAGGGCGCCAGTACCTTTACCCGCTCCACAGATTGCACAGATTCAGGGACAAACATATCCAGTTTTACCAGCACCACCACAGCCTCAGGGACAGGCACCACAGTAGTTGCATTATGGCAAGGTGTACAACCCCATGCCATAGGACGTTCAAGCACCTCAGGCTGTTGAGGGTATTCATGGTTCAAAAGGTCGTGTTTTATTTGATATGGGTGTTACACACTCATTTGTAGCTAGGTCTTTTGTTGTTTTATCTGAGATAACGACGTGGGTATGCAATAGACCCCAAGATATTTCAACACCATTGGGCAATACTGCCATTTTACATGAGAGTGATGGGCCTGTGACACTAGATAGTGGTAGACTCAAATTTCTAGCCAATCTATTGGTCCTGGACATGCACACTTATGACGTGATACTTGGGATGGATTGGTTATCTCACTACCATGCCTAAGTTAATTGTTATGATATGTCTGTTGTTTTCACCATACCTGGTCAGGATATGTACGTCGTCGCTGTGTCACGTTCTAACGGGGTTATTAGCACATATTTGTTTCATATAGAGGAGGAAACGGAGGAAGGGACTACTGTATCTTTGGATAGCATACCAATTGTACGGGATTTTCTGGATATATTTCAGGAGATTTCAGAGTTGTCACCTAGTCGCGAGATCGACTTTGTGATTGACTTGGCTCCAAGCACTACGCCTATTGCTAGGGCACCTTACAGGATGGCACCAGTGGAGATGCGAGAGCTGAGGGATTAGATTCAGTAATTACTCAGCCAGGGCTTTATTCGTAGGAGTACTTCACCCTGAGGAGCACCAGTATTGTTTGTGAAGAAGAAGGATGGTTTACTTCGCCTGTGTATAAATTACAGGGAGTTGGACAAGGTTACTATTTGCAATAAGTACCCGTTACCCAGGATTGATGATCTTTTTGATTAGTTGAAGGGAGCTACCTACTTTTCTAAGATTGATCTGCGTTCTGGATATCATCAACTTCAGGTTAGGGTGCAAGATGTTCAGAGGACAGCGTTTCTCACAAGA